AAGGTGACGATGTATTCTTTGTCCTCTTTGTCTATTGCTTTGTCTATCAATTTCAATAATCAGCCCGCAGGATCCCTCCATATATCTCTTTTGTCTTCTTAGTCTATAGCTTTGTCTATGAATGTCAAGGATCAGCCCGGAGTCCTGGTGAGGGCGCGTCGGCGTGGATTATGTTTTCTTCCGGCTGGACGCGGCAAGGCTGCGGGAAGCTCTGGTCCGTCTGGCGAGAACGGACAGAGCTCACGAGCTGATCTTTCCATCTTTCCGGTCCCGCGCCCGGGCGGCTGGCCCGGCACCACGGGTTGGAGGCCCGCCTTCGCGAGTCGCCGACCGTGACCGGACGCTCGGAAAACTCCGCCGCTAGAAGAAGCCGTAGCCTAGAGTCCCTTTATACTGAGAGTCAAGACAATGTGAATCCATTTCTGAATGGTTTCCGTATCTTAGGCCCTCACAGTGTCACAAACGGGAATAAAGATTACATTTTCACCGATTGCAAAGATTATAATCTGGAATGGACCGGGGAATTACGGGTTCGGCAAGGAACAAACAGGATGAGAGAAGGAACGGAGAAAGGAATTTGAGAATGGGCCGATCAAAGATTAGAAAAAACGTTCAATTTCTGTAATCTTTATTCCCGTTTGTGACTCCATGAGGAGGTGTTGTCTTGACTCTCTGTATAAAGGGACTCTACCGTAGCTCACGAGAACCCCAGCAACGCGAGCTACCGAAATATATTTTCGAGAGTGTTATTTGCATGATTTGGCAACACAAGGTTTCTCGGTGATCCCGAGGAGAACAATGTAGAGTAAAAGACTAGAAGATCGAGGAACTTCAAGCACCTATTTAGACATTAAGTGACTCTATAAAGGGAAACTACATGGGGGATTCAATGATAATAAACGTAAATGTAAACTTAAGTTAGGCTTCAATAAATTAGTATGTAAACAAGGCCTTCGGGCTATGCTCTGTAAAGCATAGCTTACACCACGTAAAAATCATAATAAATTTATTTGTTTAAAAAAAAAAAAGAAAAAGGTGTTTCGCCCCAATATGGTTCGCATTCAGCAAAAGGGAATCAGCGTGATTCGTTGTTGCTTCTTCATAAATAATGAAGAATCTCCCACAGTAGCGAATGGCTTTGGCTTTTCACCAATTTTTTTTTAATTTTGAAGGAAAATAATCGTGTAAAACTGTATACTTGTTTTAACTGTTTTTCAAAGAAAAGGAGAAGTTTTGGGAGGGAAGGATTTTGAAAACACTGTAGTCGCACTGGTTCCGTTTTGCCAAATGCGATCCATATGCGCGTGTGGAACAACTCATTTCTACCGAGGCACACTACGTTAGGGTGCCCTTACACACGGATTTAATAGTATGCCGTATTTACGTTATCCAAGCTTCCACATTTTTACGCCCCCATCTCCTGACTTACTTCAAAATTTGTCTCCCAATGTCCCAAGGTATGAAGTTTTCATTATTGATTCCATTGTAGACAGCCTCTGACCCTTAAAAATTCTCGCCTCTTCCACCTTTGAAAAGGTCTACTCATTATTTTACGCTGGACAGGCGCGTACTTAAGCATTTTCTGGGTTGATTCGCTATAAATTCCTGATTACATTTGGTAACCTAGTTTTTTTTTTTCGAAAACTTGCAACGTCGCAAATCGATGTATGAATGTGTTTTACCTCACCATCGGTGATGAGGAAATGTGTAACCGCGCATGGCACGAGCTGCTACAGTGTAATATCAGCGGCGATAGTGATCTTCTGCCATCAAGTCGAAGCGACACTCTTGAAGGCGCTCTGAGCAACTATTTCACCACAGCAGTATTGCACAGTATCAGATGAAAATGAAGGCGCTTTGACGCGTGTAAAATAATATTTTTCGCACTATCTCGGAATAATCGCGGCGGATTCAAAGCGTTCACATTCGTTTTAAATCCACCTATCTGCAAGGAAGAAAATTCGGAAAAGTCAATGTTTAGTGGTCGCGAGCGTCCCCCTCCCCCTCCCCCTCCCCTCCCTTCCCCCTCCCCTCCTTCTCCCCTCCCCATCAGCGGAATCGGCTTAATTTGAGACCTGTTAACAATGTTTGACGGTTTTGAATTTGTTTATTGGATGCGGCTCAGAAAGCACCTATCACGTCAGTCTTTTTAAAGTCGACTCGTGCGTTTTTGACCCTACACGCTTCATTTTTTCATGGCGAAAAAGCGCTGCCGCGCTGAAAAACGCCGCATAAGCCGCCAGGCGTTGCCAAATTTCCTTTGACAAATCACAAATTTTCACTTCGTGAATACTTCCCTTCCGATTTTTAAGAGGGGTTCGTTCGTAATTTGGTCTGAAAAGTTCGAAAGTTCGAAGGGAACATATTCATAGCCTTCATAAATAAATATATTCTGAGAGGAAATTTGGCAACACTCGAGTGTTCGTACGGCGCTTTTACTCAGCACGGCAGAGCGTGGAGACGGCCGGCGCACGGTGGATCGAGTCTATGAGAGAGGTCGGACATGAAATTTTTGACTAAAACTGCAAATTTTCAAGTTTAAATTGTCGCATTTTAAACTTCAAGGAGTGCCTCTGTTGGGTATTTAACTTTAATTTTAAGTCATTTTTGTAATAATTGTCTTTTTAGCATAAGTCATCGAATGTTGTGTCGTTGCCCCCTCTTTTTCTCATCGCACTCTTTCTAAAGGAATGAATGGGCCTTTCTCTTTCTCTTTCAACTGAAATTAATAGCCTTCTGCACGCTTCCCCTTGTCTTGAATCACATGTCGCTCTCCTTCTCGCTCCTCTCTCGCGTATGTATGTGTCTATCTCTCTCTAATCTTCAACCCTCGGCTCTGCATTTCTTCTCGCTCTCACTACCTCATCCAACGTTGCTCTCTCTCTCTCTCTCTCTCTTCACCACCCCCGCTTGTTTTGAGGACTCCACTGCGCATGCGCGGCGCGACCTGCGCTGCATCCCTTGGAGTAAAATCAGTTGAGAGAGCCGCGTTAGTCCTCGTCAGCTCTTCGCTCTGAATCTACCTCACGCTCTTGTGACTCCGTCAAATGCGGAAAACTTTCCCGTGACGTATCTCTCTTGAGGCAACGATACAAACATCGCAGATTGTTTGTATTCCTCAAAATAAACTTCAACTTCACCTGCATATCGATTGGTTCACTATCATTTTATCAAGTACGTCTCACCTGGGAGGACCTCAGCACAGAAGGATTCGCAATACGACTTGTCGTGTTGACTTCTGGGCTGTCTCCCTTGATCTTTTGCTCTCTTATACGGTACGAGTGGCAGTCCGACACGATCTTCGTGTTGACACTCGTGCTGCTGAGAAATCTTACTTAGTTTTTTACTAAGTTGGTCCCTCGGTAAGCATCGAGAATTCGGCGACGGATTCTTCTTCTCTTCTCCTTCATTTTTTGGTCCCTCGGGCCGGATCGAGAATTCGCTGAAGGATTCTTTCTCCTTCAGCCTCTTAACGAAAATTTAACGAGGAAACCAATGGAACCACTTTTAGAACCTCAAAATTGTGTATAAACGGAGTTATAAGCGTTTAAAATTTCCAAATTTTGTCCGACCTCTCCTATTGACTCGATCCACTGTGCGGCGCGCCGCACAGTGGATCAGACGCCGCGGCGTCTGGTTCGCGTCGCTCATCGCGTCATCGTGCCCGTTGGATCCTTCCCGCCGGGAAACGGATTCCCGGAACAGCGCTGCCACGCTAAGGAAAAACGCCGCATGAGCCTCCAGACGTTGCCAAACCTCTCCTGATAGAATAAAAATTCCCGACGAAACTTGTGGAGATTTTTCTCCCAAATTTTCAAAGATTTTACCTCGCAATATAATCTGCAGCATCTGAAAATTTCAGTGCAAAATACTCACGAATCTCCTCAAAAATGAATGTTTTATAAACGGAAATTTGGCAACATTCGGATGTTAATACGGCGTTTTTCCTTAGCTCGGCAGAACGGGCCCGCTCGTGCGTGGGGGGGTGGGGGGGGCTGTTTCCCTTAGAAGAGTGTGAAATGCGCGAGCCGCCGCCGCCGGGTGAAGTCGAATAATTGCGCCGCACAGTGGATCGAGTCAATTAGGGAGGTCGGACTTGAAATGTTCGACTAAAACCGCAAATTTTGATGTTAATTTCGTCAAATTTTAAATTCCAAGGGGTCCTTCCAGAAGAAAATTTCACGAGGAAACCAATGGAACCACTTTTAGAACCTCAAAGTTTCGGATAAACGGAGTTATAAGCGTTTAAAGTTTCCGAATTTTGTCCGACCTCTCCCATCGACTCGATCCAGTGTGCGCCGGGGGGGTTGTGGAGGATAAAAATCCCGCGCGCGCATAATGCATGAGCGCGGTTCATGATGCATCTCCGGGTGCATCCGAGGCCGCGGTTTCACTGACGGCGCGCGAGGCCGCGGTTTCACTGACGGCGCGCGACGCGGAGTTCGCCGCGATCGGGTGCGATGATTTTATGCTGAATCTACAGGGATCCAAGGGTTAACCTCTAGGCTACCGATGCGCGCTCTAGGTATTATAATGTAATGTATGTTTTACTGTGAAATGTTCCGATACGTTGCACGAAATTGAAAATGACGCACCCGAAAAATGTGCCTGAAACCTTAAAACATTTGATACATAAACACACATTTTCAAAACAGCTCGGAATGATATGACGTGGATGAGGATGTGAACGAGAAGAATCGTGCCGCCTACCAAACTCGTCTGGTGCGCGGCACAAACCAGTGCGTGGCGTCGTTTTCTGACTACACAATACTCGTGCGCCGCACCATTTTCTCGTTCTGCGCCTCAAACTCTTTTTTCAGTGCTCTTCCTCAGAACGGCAGTACTTGTCGACACAAGCACGAAGCATCCTCAATCCAAGTGATTCGATTTTTCAATTCATTTTATTCCAAAGTGAACTTTTTCAGTGTTTTTTCCTTTCAATTTTATTTTTTACGTAACCGCTTAAGTAATGGTCGCGTGTCTTGTACCTCTGCTCACAGATATGCCACTGCGCCGCGGACGTTCACATCCATATTTGTGGGTATCCGTCGATGACACTCTCAATTTTGAGCCGAAGAAATCGCTATGAAAGATTTGAGCAAAGGCTCATCCATCGAGTCAGCTGAAAAAACTGAAGATGAATTTCCCGTCTGGAATGACGGCACCCCAACTGGACGATCCCAAAATCAAACGGGAATCAATCGAAGAAGAAGGGTTGCACCCCGAAGTCAGTGAAGGTGGGTTTCTCGCAACTTTTGACCATGCCGAATCGATACCACCCCAATTCAAGCGTCTAGAACCGTTTCCTCCCCTGATCAAAGAGGAAGCTGACAGAGTAAATGAAGACTCATCGCCAGCGCCTTTACTGCACAGTAGTGTCAAAATAAAGGATGAATCGTCTCAGATGCCTCTAATATCTGAGGCGGAGGATCTGGATGAAAAAGTTGGTTTCGTGACCGAGTGTCTCGTCCCAACTGTACTCAAAGTCGAAAAAGTCCGTGCTACGAACCTGAATGATGAATCGAGCAGCATTGCTGTAACTTTTTCAGAATCTGAGTTGCTAAAATCACGGAAGCTATCCGTGAAAATTGTGGATCTTTTCTCCAGATCCGATCGTCGACTTGGGAAAGCTCATACCAATTCTGCATCTTGCGAGTGCAAATATTGTAGCGAGGACGGCGGACTTACGCTTTTCGACGGAGGTACCCCGAATATCTTGAGGGGAAACGTACCGTCGAAATCTGGCCATGCGCTTTTGCGTTCCAAAGAGAATTCCGGAAGTTCGGCACAGCTGACGGACGGAACAGCACCTCTTCCTGAAAACATAGGAAATTCCGATGAATATTCTACCACCGTTAGCAGAGGAGACCCGCACAACTTCGACGCAGCTTATTCAGGATCATCGTTGCTGCAGAGGAATGTTGAGACGCGATCCGGAATGTTGAGTTGCAATCAGTGCAATGCATCTTTCAAAACAAAGCAAATTTTAAAGAATCATAAACTTGTCCATACAGATGAAAGACCGTTCAGTTGCACTAAGTGCAATGCATCTTTTAAAAGGAAGAAAAATTTGGTTATTCATGCGATGATTCATACGGGCTTGAAACCGTTTACTTGCAGTGAGTGTAATGCATCTTTTAATCGTAAGAGTGATTTACGTAGGCATATAATGACTCATAGGGATGAAAAACCATTCAGTTGCGATCAGTGCAATGCGTCTTTCAAAAAAAAGCGTTATTTAAATCAACATAACCTTGTCCATACAGACGAAAGACCGTTCAGTTGCGATCAGTGCAATGCATCTTTTAAATGGAAGAAAAGTTTGGTTAGTCACGTGATGAGTCATACGAGCTTAAAACCGTTTACATGCAGTGAGTGTAATGCATCTTTTAATCAAAAGAGTGTTTTACGTAGGCATAGAATGACTCATACGGATGGAAAACCATTCAGTTGCGATCAGTGCAATGCATCTTTCAAAACAAAGCGTCTTTTAAAGAGTCATAAATTCGTTCATACGGATGAAAGACCGTTCAGTTGCACTAAGTGCAATGCATCTTTTAAAAGGAAAAACGGTTTGGTTAGTCACGTGATGAGTCATACGAGCTTGAAACCGTTTATTTGCAGTGAGTGTAATGCATCTTTTAAATTAAAGAGTGCTTTACGTAGGCATAGAATGACTCATACGGATGGAAAACCATTCAGTTGCGATCAGTGCAATGCATCTTTCAAAACAAAGCGTCTTTTAAAGAGTCATAAATTCGTTCATACGGATGAAAGACCGTTCAGTTGCACTAAGTGCAATGCATCTTTTAAAAGGAAGAACGGTTTGGTTAGTCACGTGTTGAGTCATACGAGCTTGAAACCGTTTACTTGCAGTGAGTGTAATGCATCTTTTAATCAAAAGAGTGTTTTACGTACGCATATAATGACTCATACGGATGAGAAACCATTCAGTTGCGATCAGTGCAATGCATCTTTCAAAACAAAGCAAATTTTAAAGAATCATAAACTTGTCCATACAGATGAAAGACCGTTCAGTTGCACTAAGTGCAATGCATCTTTTAAAAGGAAGAAAAATTTGGTTATTCATGCGATGAGTCATACGGGCTTGAAACCGTTTACTTGCAGTGAGTGTAATGCATCTTTTAATCAAAAGAGTGCTTTACGTAGGCATATAATGACTCATACGGATGAAAAACCATTCAGTTGCGATCAGTGCAATGCATCTTTCAAAACAAAGTATATTTTAAAGAATCATAAACTTGTCCATACAGATGAAAGACCGTTCAGTTGCACTAAGTGCAATGCATCTTTTAAAAGTAAGAACGGTTTGGTTAGTCACGTGATGAGTCATACGAGCTTAAAACCGTTTACTTGCAGTGAGTGTAATGCATCTTTAAAATTAAAGAGTGATTTACGTAGGCATATAATGACTCATAGGGATGAAAAACCATTCAGTTGCGATTAGTGCAATTCATCTTCCAAAACAAAGCGTGTTTTAAAGCAACATAAACTTGTCCATACAGATGAAAGACCGTTCAGTTGCGATCAGTGCAATGCATCTTTCAAAGAAAAGCGTCCCGTAAAGAATCATAGACTCGCCCATACGGATGTAAAACCCTTTAGTTGCAATGAGTGTCATGCATCTTAAAAACGGGAAAACTCCCGTTAACTTCCGTTAACTCCCGTTACGGCATTAAGTGTTTAATTTGGAGTTAGTGATTATTCCCTGCCCCCAATGTTAGTATATTAAAAAAAATAATTTTATTCAAGAAGATATCCTCAATATACTCGCGGGTGAAGAGGCTGTTCGGTCGAAGATCTTTGCGCAATTGTCATAAAAAATTGACTCTGATGTTACCTTCATTAGAGTAGAATCTTCGCTGATTCAAAATAAATGCTGTGTCATTACATTAGAAGCTTTAAATATCAGAAGTTCTGAAATGATAGGCTTTTTGGCATTTGTATGAGTCGTTCAGAGTTATTTCAGGTAAACTTCCTCGTATCCTTAAAATAAATATCTTTTCACATAGTTTTACAGTATCCTCTTGTTAAGTATACCTACCATTTAAGTTGTTACTTTTTTCGACTTCAGATTGTCATGTTCAGCAAGCCATTAGTGTTTCACCTCCTGTTGTATCTTTTTTGCAGAATTTAGATTTAGATCTTAGACTTAGAATGAAAATGTTTCAATATTTTCTCATATTAAGAATGAAAATCTAATCTATTATATCTATGATATTTCTTCACCTTTAGCTGTTTTTAATCGACAATTTTATTCGTCTCCCCTCTTTCCCAGCCCCCCCCTCCCCCAACTAAATCTGTATATTATTAAGTTTGGAATATCCAAACGAATGATTTGTCAAGTTTCAAAGGTTAGTCTGAAGAGAAAGTAAAATGAACCTGATTCCTCTAAACTTAAGTGCTTCTTTTTCCGTTAATATTGTAGAAGCATGGTAAGTAAAAACTACGAACTCACTAGTAACTGACCAAATTTCTAAAGGTGAAAAAAACAGTCAAGATCATTTTTACGTAATGCGTACACATTATGCGAGTCCTTTAATCTGATCCGTCGATTTTTTCTGGTATAACTTACTCGTGCTATGATATTTGTACAAAGAATACGTTTTCTCTCTACGGCCGGCGGCGCCGAACAGTGCATCGAGTCAACTAGAGAGGTCGGACATGAAATTTTTGACTGAAACTGGAAATTTTAATGTTTATTTCGACACATTTCAAATCTCAAGGACTGCCCTCAGAAGCAAATTTCTCGAGGAAACCAATGGAACAACCTTTAGAACATCAAAGTTTTGTATAAACGGAGTTNCGAGGTGACAATTACCGCCGCTGCTATTTTCTGCTCCCGTTTCCGTCGAGATTTACGCTGGGAAAATGTTTGATTTAACCGTAAAGACGCCGCCGATTAGGAATTTGTACGAGCGCCTAATAAATTGCGAAACCCAATTTTACGAAGGATCTCTTCAGTTCCTGATATTCAAATTTCAGCTCAGTTAATTCCTGTCTTCGAAGCAAAGCAATCGGTAGTCTGCTTCCCCGCCACCAAATTGGTGGCTCCAGTAAAATTGGAATATTTTAAGCTGAAATTTTAATGGCAGTCAGAGGTCCACTATCGCTAGTTTCTTATTAAAGTTATCAGCAAATTCTACCAACGCGTATCGTCATGGCGATCAATTGAAGCTAATTAAATCGAAATAAACTATCGCCATTTTTTGATGAACCCTGAGATCCATAGGAATACATGCATGATAGGGCTGAAGTCATAATGGACATAGTTCCTTTTGAATTCAAAGCGTACATTGGAGCTTTTTAAAGTCAGGAGAAGGGTATGAAATATAACTCAAATATAAATGAATATTTCTAGCTACAATTTTACTAGCAGGTACTTAGGAGTCCATCAAAACTGATTTTCCTCAGAATCTCGGAAAAATTTGCATTTGTGTTTCGTAATGGCGGTCTTTTTTAACTTTTTTGGGGTGGGAGGAGGGAAAGGGTAAATTAAAGATTTACCGCATCTCAATTATGTAGTAGTTAATTCATGAAAATCTTAAAATCACACCCATTCAACGGTAAATGCGCGGACCACAAAAACCTCCTCCTCCTCTGCCGCGCCAAGGAAGGACGTATGAGCCGTCAGACGTCGCCGAATAGCCTTCGTTAAAATTCGGATTTTCAGGGAAATCCGTTAACATTTTTCCACCAACATTTTTCCATTTTTCCGGAGAATTTAATTCGCTATTAGATTTAAATTATCTGGAAATTTCAAGAGAAAATATTTGCAACTTTCCTCGAAATTAAACATTTTATCGATGTAAATTTTCGTCAGGTTTTTTCGTCACAAAAGGGCTAAAACAAGGCTGCTGTTTGTCACCAACACTATTTAAGGTATACCTAGAGCACGTTTTAAAGGAATGGAAAAATAAGGTTGCGGGAATGGGCGTTCCACTCGTTGATGGGCAGACCCTTTATACTCTATGCTTTGCCGATGACCAGATCGTTGTAGCTCAAGATGAGGAAGATGCAGATTACATGACGCGGAAGTTGGTCGAAGAATATCGGAAATGGGGCATGGATGTTAGTGTGTCCAAGACAGAGAAGCTGGTCGTGGGAGCAGCGCATCAAGGACAAAGCATAGAGCTTGAGGATGGACGGCGCATTGAAGAGTGTGATGAGTACAAGTATCTCGGTGTCTGGCTTGATCAGGATGGAAGGATGGATAGAGCAATTAAGGACAGGATCATCCAGGGCAGGAGAGCCATCGCGATGCTGAACGGGGTGCTCTGGGATCAGAGCATCTCAAAGGCAAACAAGCACCGGATATATGACGCCATCGTTAAAAGTATCGTGCTCTATGGTAGTGAAGTGTGGCCTATGACGAAAAGAACGCAAGGAATTTTGAGGGCAACTGAAATGGATTTTTGGCGGCGATCTGCCGGCATTTCGAGACGGGACCGTGTCCGTAATGAGAGAATTCGCCAGGTGATGAAGGTTGAGAAAGATATCGTGCACGACGTCATGTCCAGGCAGTTATGCTGGTATGGACATGTGCAAAGAATGTCGGAGGAGAGGTTGCCCAAACAAGTTTTGGATTGGGTACCACCTGGGAAGAGGCGACGGGGACGTCCCGTAAAGGGTTGGCGGCAGGGCGTTGACGAAGAGATGTTGCGGTGTCAGTTGCCCGATAACCTCTGGGAAGACAGGCATATGTGGCGTTTGGGTGTCGTAGAACGCCAGAGTGCGTTATAAAGCGACTCTATATATATATCGATGTAAATTTGGCAGCTGTCGAATGTACATACGGCCCTCTTCCTTAGAACGGCAGTACTTGTCGACACCCGCAACTTCAATCCGAGCGACCGGTTTTTCAATTCATTTTACTCCAAAGTGAACTTTTTTAGTGTTTTTTTCTTTCAATATTAATTTTTTACTTAACCGCATAAGTAATGGTCGCGTGTCTTGTACCTCTGCTCACAGATATGCCACTGCGCCGCGGACGATCACATCCATATTTGTGGGTATCCGTCGATGACACTCTCAATTTTGAGCCGAAGAAATCGCTATGAAAGATTTGAGCAAAGGCTCATCCATCTAGTCAGCTGAAAAAACTGAAATGAACTTACCCTCTGGAAAGACGGCACCCGAACTGGACGATCCCAAAATCAAACGGGAATCAATCGAAGAAGGGTTGCACCCCGAAGTCAGTGAAGGTGGGTTTCTCGCAACGTTTGACCATGCCAAATCGATACCATTACCACCCCAATCCAAGCGTCCAGAACCGTTCGTTCCCCTGATCAAAGAGGAAGCTGACAGCGAAAATGATTACTCATCGCCAGCGCCTTTACTGCACAGTAGTGTCAAAATAGAGGATGAATCGTCTCAGATGCCTCTAATATCTGAGGCGGAGGAACTGGATGAAAAAGTTGGTTTCGTGACCGAGTGTCTCGTCCCAACTGTACCCAAAGTCGAAGAAGTCCATGCTACGAACCTGATCGATGAATCGAGCAGCATTGCTGTAACTTTTTCAGAATCTGACTTGGTACAATCAAAGAAGCTCTCCGTGAAAATTGTGGATCTTTTCTCCAGATCCGATCGTCGACTTGGGAAAGCTCATATTAATTCTGCATCTTGCGAGTGCAAATATTGTAGCGAGGACGGCGGACTTGCGCTTATCGACGGAGGTACCCCGAATAACTCGAGGGGGAACGTACCGTCGAAATCTGGGCAGGCACTTTTGCGTTCAAAAGAGAATTCCGGAAGTTCGGCACAGCTGACGGACGGAACAGCACCTCTTCCTGAAAACATAGGAAATTCCGATGAATATTCTACCTTCGTTAGTAGAGGAGACCCGCACAACTTCGACGCAGCTCATTCAGGATCCTCGTTGCTGCAGAGAAATGTTGAGACGCGATCCGGAATGTTGAGTTGCAATCAGTGCAATGCATCTTTCAAAACAAAGCATCTTTTAAAGAATCACAAACTTGTCCATACAGATGAAAGACCGTTCAGTTGCACTAAGTGCAATGCATCTTTTAAAAGTAAGACCGGTTTGGTTAGTCACGTGATGAGTCATACGAGCTTGAAACCCTTTACTTGCAGTGAGTGTAATGCATCTTTTAAATTAAAGAGTGCTTTACGTAGGCATATAATGACTCATACGGATGAAAAACCATTCAGTTGCGATCAGTGCAATGCATCTTTCAAAACAAAGCGTCTTTTAAAGAGTCATAGATTTGTCCATACGGATGAAAGACCGTTCAGTTGCATTAAGTGCAATGCATCTTTTAAAAGGAAGAACGGTTTGGTTAGTCACATGATGAGTCATACGAGCTTGAAACCGTTTACTTGCAGTGAGTGTAATGCATCTTTTAAATTAAAGAGTGCTTTACGTAAGCATATAATGACTCATACGGATGAAAAACCATTCAGTTGCGATCAGTGCAATGCATCTTTCAAAACAAAGCATATTTTAAAGAATCATAAACTTGTCCATACAGATGAAAGACCGTTCAGTTGCACTAAGTGCAATGCATCCTTTAAATGGAAGAAATGTTTCGTTAGTCACATGATGAGTCATACGAGCTTGAAACCGTTTACTTGCAGTGAGTGTAATGCATCTTTTAAATTAAAGAGTGTTTTACGTGAGCATATAATGACTCATGCGGATGAAAAATTCTTCAGTTGCGATCAGTGCAATGCATCTTTCAAAACAAAGCGTGTTTTAAAGCAACATAAACTTGTCCATACAGATGAAAGACCGTTCAGTTGCGATCAGTGCAATGCATCTTTCAAAGAAAAGCGTCGTTTAAAGAATCATCGACTCGCCCATACGGATGTAAAACCCTTTAGTTGCAATGAGTGTCATGCATCTTAAAAACGGGAAAACTCCCGTTAACTTCCGTTAACTCCCGTTACGGCATTAAGTGTTTAATTTGGAGTTAGTGATTATTCCCTGCCCCCAATCTTACTATATTTAAAAAAATAATTTTATTCAAGAAGATATCCTCAATATACTCGCGGGTGAAGAGGCTGTTCGGTCGAAGATCTTTGCGCAATTGTCATAAAAAATTGACTCTGATGTTACCTTCATTAGAGTAGAATCTTCGCTGATTTAAAATAAAGGCTGTGTCATTACATTAGAAGCTTTAAATATCAGAAGTTCTGAAATGATAGGCTTTTTGGCATTTGTATGAGTCGTTCAGAGTTATTTCAGGTAAACTTCCTCGTATACTTAAAATAAATATCTTTTCACATAGTTTTACAGTATCCTCTTGTTAAGTATACCTACCATTTAAGTTGTTACTTTTTTCGACTTCAGATTGTCATGTTCAGCAAGTTATTAGTGTTTCACCTCCTGTTGTATCTTTTTTGCAGAATTTAGATTTAGATCTTAGACTTAGAATGAAAGTGTTTCAATATTTTCTCATATTAAGAATGAAAATCTAATCTATTATATCTATGATATTTCTTCACCTTTAGCTGTTTTTAATCGACAATTTTATTCGTCTCCCCTCTTTCCCAGCCCCCCCCCTTCCCCCAACTAAATCTGTATATTATTAAGTTTGGAATATCCAAACGAATGATTTGTCAAGTTTCAAAGGTTCGTCTGAAGAGAAAATAAAATGAACCTGATTCCTCTAAACTTCAGTGCTTCTTTTTCCGTTAATATTGTAGAAGCATGGTAACTAAAAACTACGAACTCACTAGTAACTGACCAAATTTCTATAGGTGAAAAAAACAGTCAATATCATTTTTACGTAATGCGTAGACATTATGCGAGTCCTTTAATCTGATCCGTCGATTTTTTCTGGTATAACTTACTCGTGCCATGATATTTGTACAAAGAATACGTTTTCTCGCTACGGCCGGCGGCGCCGAACAGTGCATCGAGTCAACTAGAGAGGTCGGACATGAAATTTTTGACTGAAACTGGAAATTTTAATGTTTATTTCGACACACTTCAAATCTCAAGGACTGCCCTCAGAAGCAAATTTCTCGAGGAAACCAATGGAACAACCTTTAGAACATCAAAGTTTTGTATAAACGGAGTTCAATGCGTTTAAAGTTTCTAAATATTGTCCGACCTCTCCTATTGACTCGATCCACTGTGCGCCGGAACATGTTTTATTGGACGTATTTCTATACCAAACAGAACTATGTGCGGGAGGGAAAGATGGGGTGCGTTCGTGGCGAGGTGGATAAGAAACAATGTAGTCAGGGGGCGTGATACCTTAAGGTGAAATAGAAAAGGGGGATTCTAAATTCTGCGTAAAGAACTATGTGCCAACCGAATTTGCTGGGACGCACGAGCCGGGGTCAATTGGGCATGGCAGAAGAGCGTTGTAGACATGGCTATACTGAGTTAAAGCGGATGAAGGGCGACAACATAGACGGTTTCGTTGCCACTGACGTCACTGGCGCTTTATTTTTCCCATGAATTCTTACCGCCCAAGAACTAATGAGCACACCCAATCTTTTACACCCGCGCGATCTTTTCGTATATAAATACGTCCAATTTTCCAATTAAATGCATGAAAAATTTCATTTTTCGTTGAGTGTTTTAAGATCGCACGGCAGGGTAAAGAATCAGCGCCTCACAGAAAATATGCCATCATAAAAATTTCAAGTGAAAAACGTTACACCTAGTATAAAAGTTCAGAATCAACTCAGGATTAGGAAATCAGCTTTTATAGCTCACATCAAAGCCAATAAATACAGACTTCCTGCTGAAGGTAAAATCATTGTTAAGCACGTCAGGTTCAGCAGGCATCTAAGTCTTCAGAGCGTTGCTTGGAAGTTTATAATGTTTGATTTTACCCCAAACCCCGTGTCACCTCTTAACGCAGTGTCCCTGAACGAAGTAGGGAGTAAAAATTGAACTAAATTTTGTAATAAGGAACTGTTATCTCCAGCCGATCCATAAAGGCCCTATAATCCTCTATGCTCGAGGGAAGTAATGACACGTACCCTGTTTCTAAAATGAGCCAGGCACGTTAGTCACTGCAATTGCAAAATGTTGTAGAATTTTTGACTGAATAAATCCTGCTTCATTGCCCAGCCCGGTTAAACAACTTATAAGCCGCTTTGATTTCAGTAGAATTAGAATTCACGGTAAGTGTGAAATCCGACTCACGAAGAGTATTGAACAGTGAATTTTAACTTATGAATGGAAATTACAACTTTTCAACGTGTCCACCGTATTATTCTCCATCCAATTTTGACGAGAAAACAATTATGCTTACAGTGGTGTGGCGTGCTTTGCGATACATCGATTGATCTGTCATTTGGATGAATTTCTGTCAAACGGATCTATGTGCATTAACTCTTGAGCCCTGAGACCCATAAGAATACATGCATACCAGGGCTCACGTCATAATGCACATAGTTCCGTTTGATAGAAATACGTCCATTTAAACCCATGGAAGAGGGTCGATTTACAAGGTGTTGGCATTGCGCAACGAACACCTTAATAATCGATTCTGTACCATGGCTTCAAATGTGAAAAATACCGATAATCGATCCTTCACGCCTCGCCACTGAAGGCTTAATTTCCTACTATGCTCAGTAGTTCATTTACGTTTTATCGCATTCGAGTGCCAACTAATTTTTGTGTGGCGTTGATCCTTCGCGGGAAATGTTAATCATGAATTTTTTAGGCTGCTTTCAAAAGAGGGAAACAAATTCTTTTGGGTCCGCTCAATGTGACAACTTTCTCCGTGAGAGCGAATCGAAAAACTTCTGCTCAGTTATAACTCTGTACAGGGTGTCTCAATTATATGGTCGTCTCGCCTCACTTGGTAGCTACCGAAAGGGCGCGTAGTTTGCCTCTATGATTTTGTGATTAGCCCAATCGAATCCAAGCCACTACGACCGATACGTTCCACTACGTTTCGATATCATTAAGAAAATTATTACCACAGACAGTTTGATTTCCTTGCCAGCCGATGACGCCCAAAGTGGTTTGTAGACTTCAGATCCCCACCAGGGGCGTGGCGTACTTAACGATCTACTTATTCATCCGCCATTTCAACCCATGGAAAAGGATCGATAAACAGGGTGCTCGCGACTAACACCTTTACAATCGATTCTTTACCACCACTTCAAATGGGGAGATATCGATAGTCGATCATTCACGCCGCGCCTGTGATGTAAAAGGCGTATTCCAATAAATTTCCGCACGCGTCCCATTATGGCCTGGTTACACGCTCAAATTTCCGTCAAATTCCGATCAAAATGATGACCAAGATAGCGGTTGGGAGTTAGCTAGATTGATGAGTAAAATTAATTAAAACAGCGTGTTGATTGAAATAAGCATGAAATAAGCACGGTTGTGTGGAAATCAGATGAAAGATGAGCCTCACAGCTCCATCATCTACCATCAAATTTTTGCTGACCGCAGAAATTGATGGTAGATGGTGCGCACCAGTCACCATTTGATCGGAAATTGATGGGAATTTGAGCGTGTACCCAGCAGAATAAGCCTGTGTCGCACTTTCAAAGCTAGCCTTCAAAATATCAAGGTCAAGTGTTGTGATTGGCTTATTCGATGACTCGGACCAATCACAGCACTCGAGCTTGACATTTTGATGGAGTATTTCGATAATGTGGCACAGGCTTTCAAGCGTGGACTCATCCTTATGTAAATCAGGGCTCACGTGCAAATTGCGGCACGGAAACGCCAGGGTGGTCCAACATAACACGAGCAATTTTTCACTTTCTCGCTCCCATAGGGTAGAGAGGAAGTATTGTCATCCTCCAGGAAAAAAAAAAAAGTTGAATTTTCATCATTTCTAGTTTTTTTTCGCCCAGGAAAGTGGGACGCCCCCTAGTTCCGTTCCGTACCATCTAAATATGATATCTGCTAAATATTTTCGCCCTCCGTCAGTATTAAGACGCGCTGAATGGACCACTAGACTAGGTACGAATTTCAGCATTCTGATACATGTTTCTGAATCAACATTTCACGTTAAATGCGATGCGCATAGCAAAAGTTACCGAAATCAACTCCTTACGAAGATATTCAATGATTCATGATGCGTGAATTCAAACCGCCCGCTCATGAAAACTCAATGCTCTGCGTGATTCACATCGCGCGCTAAACGTTCATCATGATAGTCTCTGCGATATAAAAATCTGGAAACCTCAATCTTGACGGTTTGGCTCAGCTATAGCAAATCTCTTGTGGTTTGAACAACATATAATGGGAAATGAACATTGCTCGATGAAGAAGCTTGCTGAAACCGTTGTATCGCGCGATTTGACTCGAGTAGAGCTTTGAGTTTCTTGTGAGCGGGCAGTTCAAATTCCTCGTAACCAATGTGAAATAAAAACGTTGAAATCTTCGTTAGGAGTTAGTTTCAGTAATATTCGTTGCGCTAATCGTGTTCTACGTTAAATTCTTGTTAAGAAACATGTATCAGATTGCTTAAATTCGCACCTTGTCTAGTGGTCCATTGAGGCTGAAAATCTCCACAGAAATTACATTGATTTCAACGAGGCGAAAAGAGGCCGATCCGCGGTATTTCGTTTATCGGCGGTAAAATGCGCCAAAATTAAGACAACTTGATAGTTACAAAAACACCTAGAGGCCTATTGAAATGAGGAAACCCTACTTTCGTCCTATATGGAGGGGCACGGGGTCACATTGGTGCCGATTCATACGCGCCGCGTACGGCATAATGCAGCTAGGGTGAACTTCGCAACTTCGGTAAGTGGACTGCAATGCTCCTTAGCACGGCAGAATAGCAGTAGTGACGGTCAGCGCCTGTGAAATTGGACCTTTCGGCTCGCAAAGGATCCAATTCCTCTGAGGGGAAGAAAGGGCTTTCTGCCCGCCTCTGCTTCCTGCAAGTGGCCAGGTACGGTACCCTGAGATAGTTGAGCATGTTGTCCATTTACCAAGGAGGGATAGACAATGGTTTCAATTTTTTTTATTCCCTGGAAATGAATTCGACTGGAAACTCCACAAGTTGGCTGTACGACCGACCATAGATCGAAATCCGATTATCCGATCCATCAATCCGAGAATCATACCCACCGAGCGACGCACAGTGGATCGAGTCAATGGGAGAGGTCGGACAGAATTTGGAAACTTTAAACGCTTGTAACTCCGTTTTTACAAAACTTTGAGTTTCTAAAAGTGATTTCATTGCTTGCCTCGTGAAATTTTCTTCCAGAATCACCCCTCACCATTTAAAATGTGACGGAAAAAACATAAAGAGTTGCACTTTTAGCCAACAATTCCATGTCCGACCTCTTTGATTGACTCGATCCACTGTGCGACGCTATTTGGCTGTTGGATAAATGCACGAGGTGGCAATTACCGCCGCTGCTATTTTCTGCCCCCATGTCCGTCGATATTTACGCTGGGAAAATGTTTGATTTAACCGTAAAGACGCCGATTAGGAATTTGAACTTGCGCTGAATTAATGGGCCTGTTGCAAACTTTTGCTAGAGCAGAATGAGGAGTTGTTTCCTATAGATAATGCCTCAAAAATCACGATGAGCGCATTGGCAAAGTCTGAAATGCACTCATAAATTCACAATCTGCGTAAGAAATTTGCGTTATTTTGAGCTTCCCGCTTCAAAAACGATACTACTGCACAGGTGAACATTTTGTTAGATGAGTCCCTCCATCGTCGGCAATATTCATCATGGCCGACGCTTGCGCAGTTCCGCGAGTAATTCGAGGAGAGTTCAAGATCAATTAAGGCGGGCGAGGAAAATATAAACGTAAACACGCCGATTGTTATCTGGTTTAATCCTGTTCAGATGTTATCTCGTCCCATCAAACGTGTTTTGGCGGACTGGCGTCGGCCATGATGAGTATTGCCGCCAATGAAACGACTCCTCTAACAAAATGTTCAACTGTACCGTAGTATCGTTTTCGAAGCGGGAAGCTCAAAAAACCGCAAATTTCTTAGGCAGATTGTGAAGTTATGAGTGCATTTCAGACTTTGCCGATGCGCTCATCGTGATTTTTGAGACATTATCTGTAAGAAACAACTCTTAGTTTTGCTCTAGCAAAAGTTTGCAACAGGCCCATTGCGAAATCCAATTTTACGAAGGATCCCTTCAGTTCCTGATTTTCAAAAGCTCAGTTAACTCCTGTCTTCGAAGCAAAGCAATCAGTAGTCTGCTTCCCCGCCACCAAATTTGTGGCTCCAGTAAAATTGGAATATTTTAAGCTGAAATTTTAATGGCAGTCAGAGGTCCACTATCACTAGTTTCTTATTGAAGTTATCAGCAAATTCTACCAACGCGTATCGTTGAATCAATGGCTGTACGACCGACCATAGATCGTAATCCGATTATCCGATCCATCAATCCGAGGATCAAACCCACCGAGCGACGCTTTTTGGCTGTTGGATAAATGCACGAGGTGACAATTATCGCGGCTGCAATTTTCTGCCCCCATGTCCGTCGAGGAATACGCTGGGAAAATGTTTGATTTAACCGTGAAGACGCCGATTAGGAATTTGTACGAGCGCCTAATAAATTGCGAAACCCAATTTTACGAAGGATCTCTTCAGTTCCTGATATTCAAATTTCAGCTCAGTGAACTTCTGTCTTCGAAGCAAAGCAATCGGTAGTCTGCTTCCCCGCCACCAAATTTGTGGCTCCAGTAAAATTGGAATATTTTAAGCTGAAATTTTAATGGCAGTCAGAGGTCCACTATCACTAGTTTCCTATTAAAGTTATCAGTAAATTCTACCAACGCGTATCGTCTAGGCGATCAATTGAAGCTAATTAAATCAAAATGAACTATAGCCATTTTTCGATGAACCCTGACATCCATAGGAATACATGCATGATAGGGCTAAAGTCATAATGGACATAGTTCCTTTTGAATTCAAAGCGTACATTGGAGCTTTTTACAGTTAGGAGAAGGGTATGGGAGATAACTCGAATATAAATGAATATTTTTAGCTGCAATTTTACTAGCAGGTACTTAGGAGTCCATCAAAACTGATTTTCCTCAGAATCTCAGAAAAATTTGCATTCGTGTTTCGTAATAGCGGTCTTTTTCAACTTTTTAGGGGTGGGAGGAGGGAGGGGTTAAATTAAAGATTTACAGCATCTCAATGATGAAGTAGTTAATTCATGAACATCTTAAAATCACACTCATTCAACGGTAAATGCGCGGACCACAAAAACCTCCTCCTCCTCTGCCGCGCCAAGGAAGGACGTATGAGCCGTCAGACGTCGCCGAATTGCCTTCGTTAAAATTCGACTTTTCAGGGAAATCCGTTAACATTTTTCCACCAACATTTTTACATTTTTCCATTTTTCCGGAGAATTTAATTGGCTATTAGATTTAAATTATCTAGAAATTTCAAGAGAAAATATTTATAACTTTCCTCGAAATTAAACATTTTATCGATGTAAATTTGGCAGCTGTCGAGTGTACATACGGTCCTCTTCCTTAGAACGGCAGTACTTGTCGACACCCGCAACTTCAATCCGAGCGACCGGTTTTTCAATTAATTTTACTCCAGAGTGAACTTTTTTAGTGTTTTTTTCTTTCAATTTTAATTTTTTACTTAACCGCATAAGTAATGCTCGCGTGTCTTGTACCTCTGCTCACAGATATGCCACTGCGCCGCGGACGATCACATCCATATTTGTGGGTATCCGTCGATGACACTCTCAATTTTGAGCCGAAGAAATCGCTATGAAAGATTTGAGCAAAGGCTCATCCATCTAGTCAGCTGAAAAAACTGAAATGAACTTACCCTCTGGAAAGACGGCACCCCAACTGGACGATCCCAAAATCAAACGGGAATCAATCGAAGAAGAAGGGATGCACCCCGAAGTCAGTGAAGGTGGGTTTCTCGCAACTTTTGACCATGCCAAATCGATACCACCCCAATCCAAGCGTCCAGAACCGTTCGCTCCCCTGATCAAAGAGGAAGCTGACGGCGAAAATGAAGACTCATCGCCAGCGCCTTTACTGCACAGTTGTGTCAAAATAAATGATGAATCGTCTCAGATGCCTCTAATATCTGAGGCGGAGGAACTGGATGAAAAAGTTGGTTTCGTGACCGAGTGTCTCGTCCCAACTGTACCCAAAGTCGAAGAAGTCCATGCAACGAACCTGATCGATGAATCGAGCAGCATTGCTGTAACTTTTTCAGAATTTGACTTGGTAAAATCAAAGAAGCTCTCCGTGAAAATTGTGGATCTTTTCTCCAGATCCGATCGTCGACTTGGGAAAGCTCATACCAATTCTGCATCTTGCGAGTGCAAATATTGTAGCGAGGACGGCGGACTTACGCTTTTCGACGGAGGTACCCCGAATATCTTGAGGGGAAACGTACCGTCGAAATCTGGCCAGGCGCTTTTGCGTTCAAAAGAGAATTCCGGAAGTTCGGCACAGCTGACTGACGGAACAGCACCTCTTCCTGAAAACATAGGAAATTCCGATGAATATTCTACCTTCCTCAGTAGAGGAGACCCGCACAACTTCGACGCAGCTCATTCAGGATCATCTTTGCTGCAGAGGAATGTTGAGACGCGATCCGGAATGTTGAGTTGCAATCAGTGCAATGCATCTTTCAAAACAAAGCGTCTTTTGAAAGATCATAAACTTGTCCATACAGATGGAAGACCGTTCAGTTGCACTAAGTTCAATGCATCTTTTAAAAGTAAGAACGGTTTGGTTAGTCACGTGATGAGTCATACGAGCTTGAAACCGTTTACTTGCAGTGAGTGTAATGCATCTTTTAATCTAAACAGTGATTTACGTCAGCATATAATGACTCATGCGGATGAAAAACCATTCAGTTGCGATCAGTGCAATGCATCTTTCAAAACAAAGCGTTATTTAAGGAATCATAGACTCGTCCATACGGATGAAAGACCGTTCAGTTGCACTAAGTGCAATGCATCTTTCAAAAGAAAGAACGGTTTGGTTCTTCATGTGATGAGTCATACGAGCTTGAAACCGTTTACTTGCAGTGAGTGTAATGCATCTTTTAAATTAAAGAGTGCTTTACGTAGGCATATAATGACTCATACGGATGAAAAACCATTCAGTTGCGATCAGTGCAATGTATCCTTCAAAACAAAGCGTGTTTTAAAGCAACATAAACTTGTCCATACAGATGAAAGGCCGTTCAGTTGCACTAAGTGCAATGCATCTTTTAAAAGGAAGACCGGTTTGGTTAGTCACGTGATGAGTCATACGAGCTTGAAACCGTTTACTTGCAGTGAGTGTAATGCATCTTTTAAATTAAAGAGTGTTTTACGTGTGCATATAATGACTCATGCTGTTGAAAAATTCTTCAGTTGCGATCAGTGCAATGCATCTTTCAAAACAAAGCGTTATTTAAGGAAACATAAACTCGTCCATACGGATGAAAGACCCTTTAGTTGCAATGAGTGTCATGCATCTTTTAAGTGGAAGCGTGATTTTAGGGAGCATTGTTTAAAGAAACATTCGAGTAAAAAGACTGCGTTAAGTGTTTAATTGTCAGTTATTATTATCTGAACCCAATCTTACTTCATTAAAAACATATATTTATTAAAGAAAATATCCTCATGATACTCGCGGTCATACGGGATTTCAACCGTTTGCTTGCTGTGAGTTTAATGCATCATTTAAAACTAAAGATGAGGTGTGCCATCACATGATCAGTCATGCGAGTGAAAGACCGTTTAGTTACAATGAGTGTAATATATCTTTCAAAAAGAGCGTTATTTTTGTCTTAGACTCGTCCATGTACATGAAAGACCGTTCAGTTTCACTAAGTGCAATGGACCTTTTAAACGAAAGGATGAGGTTTCGAAGCATATGATTTGTCATACGAGTGAAAGACCGTTTAGTTGCAATGAGTGTAATGCATCTTATAAACGAGAGTTTGATTTAAAGGTGCATTGTATTAATAAACATTCAAGTAAAAAGACGGCATCAAGTGTTTGATTTGGAGTTAGTGTTTATTCCCTGCACCCAATCTTACTTCATTAAAAAAGTGATTTTATTTAAGAAGATATCCTCAATATACTCTTCGGTCGAAGTTCTTCGCGCAATTTTCATAATAAAATTGACTCTGATGTTATCTTCATTAGAGAATAATCTTCGGTGATTTCAAATAAATGCTGTGTCATTACATAAGAAGCTTTAAATATCAGAAGTTCTAAAACGATAGGTTTTTTAGCATACGTATTGGTCGTATAGAGTTATTTCAGATAAACTTCCACGTACACTTAAAATAAATACATTTTCACATAGTTTTACAGTATCCTCTTGTTGATAAAGTATACCTACCATATAAGTTTTCACTTTTTTCGCATTTAGATTGTCATGTTTAGCAAGTAATCAGTGTTTCACTTCCTGTTGTATCTTTTTCTGCTGGATTTAGATTTAGATCTTAGACTTAGAATGAAGATGTTTCAATATTTTCTCATATTAAGAATGAAAATCTAATCTATTATATCCATGATATTTCTTCACCTTTAGCTGTTTTTAATCGACAATTTTATTCGTCTCCTCTCTTTCCCAGTCCCCCCCCCCCCCACTAAATCTGTATTGTATCAAATTTGGAATATCCAAACAAATGTCAAGTTTCAAAAGTTTGTCTGAAATGTTAGTAAAATGAACCTGATTCCTCTATACTTCAGTGCATTCTTTTTGCGTTAATATTGTAGAAGCATGATAAATAAAAACTAACTACTGATTGCTAACCGGCCAAATTTCTATAGGTGAGAAATACCGTCAAAAGTCATTTTTACGTAATGCGTGGACATTCTACGAGTCTTTCTATTTGATCCGTCGATATTTTCTGGTATATAACTTGCGCGTGCGCTGATATTTGTGCAAAGAATACACTTTTCTCGCTATGGCCGGCGCCGCACAGTGGATCGAGTCAATTAGAGAGGTCAATAGAGAGGTCGGATTCGGTATGAAATTTTTGACTAAAAGTGAAAATTTTAACGGTTATTTCGTCACATTTCAAATTTCAAGGGGTGCCTCCACAAGAAAATTTCTTGAGGAAACCAATGGAATAACTTTCAAAGCCCCAAAGTTTTGTATAAACATAGTTTTAAGCGTTTAAAGATTCCAAATACTGTCCGACCTCTCCTATTGACTCGATCCACTGTGCGCCGGAACATTTTTTATTGGACGTATTTCTATACCAAACAGAACTATGTGCGGGAGGGAAAGATGGGGTGCGTTCGTGGCGAGGTGGATAAGAAACAATAAGGTCAGAGGGCGTTATACCTTAAAGTGAAATAGAAAAGTGGGCTGTCAAATTCAGCCAACAGAACTGTGTGTTCTGTTGGCGACAACGGAAACGGATTCGTTGCCGCTGACGCCACTGGCGCTTTATTATTCCCATGCATTTTTAACGCCCGAGAACTAACGAGCACACCCAATCTTTTACACCCGCACATAGTTCTGTTTGGTATAAATACGCCCAATTACCCAATTAAATGCATAAAAAATTTCATTTGTCATTGAGTGTTTCAAGATCACACGGCATGGTAAAGAATCAGCGCATCACAGAAAATATGCTATCCTAAAAATTTCAAGTGAAAAACGTTGAACTTACTATAAAAGTTTAGAATCAATTCAGGAATAAGAAATCAGCTTTTATACCTCACATTGAAGTCAATAAATGCCGATTTACTGCTGTAGGTAAAACCATAGTTAATTATGTCTGGTGTAGGCAGCCGTCGAAATCTTATGAGCGTTGCTTGGAAGTACGTACTGTTTCATTTTACCCAAACCCCGTGTCACCTCTTAACGCAGTGTCCCTGAACGAAGTGGAGAAAAAAAATTGAACTAAATATTGTAATCAGGAAGTTTTATCTCCAGCCCATCCATAAAGCCCCTGTATGTATGAGGAAAATAAGGACACGTATTCTGTTCCTAAAATGAGCCAGGCATGCTAGTCACAATTGCAAAATGTAGTCCAATAATTATTCACTTGATAAATCTTGCTTCATTGCCAAGCCTGGTAAAAATAACTTAGTAACCGCTTTGATTTGAGTAGAATTAGATTTTATGATAAGTGTGAAATCCGAATCACGAAGAGTATTTAACAGTGAATTTTAACTTGTAAATGGAAATACTTTCTAACGTGTCCATCAAATTATTCTCCAACTAATTTTGACGAGAAAACAAATATGCTCACATTGGTGTGGTGTGCTTTGGAATACATCAATTGATCTGTCATTTAAACCCATGGGAGAGGGTCGATGTACAAGGTGCAGGTTTTGCATCAGGAAAAACTTGAAAATATTAGGAATTTTGGCCGATCAGGAAAAAATCAAGAAAATCGGAAAAATCGGACTTCTTTTTTAAATAGGAATTTTTCTTACGCGAATCTCCTTAGCGGAAAAGTCTTACTGCTTTTTGCCTACCGTGCCAGTAGTCGTCGCGCCGTCTTTGTTTCCGATAATAATTTCTTACCCGTAGCGCTTGTGTCGTGTAGTGAAGGCCTCATCGCAGTGTCGCCGCCTTTGCGAAATCAAAATTTCCCGTCCATCTTCAGCGCCTGTATTTTAAACTTATTTTATACTGTATTTATGCTTGTTTCTAATCATATGAGCCTTATCAGAAAATTTAGTTTCCGCATGCATTTATGTAATAAATATAACTTTTTCGAAAATCAGGAAAATATCGGGAATTTTCAAAATGAAAAAATCAGGAATTTTTTCTAAAATATCAGGATTTTTCAAAATTAACAAATACTTGACACTCTGATAAACAGGGTGCTCGCGACTAAAACCTTTATAATCGAGTCTTTACCACGGCTTCAAATGGGGAGATATCGATAGCCAATCATTCACACCGCGCCTGTGATGTAAAAGGCGTATTTCAATTTCCTTAGTATAATAATAATTTATCCAAAGGAGGCACTTTGGAAACGTTCAAATTTTCATAACGCATTTTCCCTCAGTGGACTGATTTTTAACAATGACAGGCTATAATATACAAAGAAGATAAAGAGAAGATGGACCGATACTATTGGTTGGGACCAACGGTCGTTGAGGTTGTCAAAAAACCGAGGTCGAAAGGGTCTCGGTTGGGTAGCCGCTGCCGTTAGATGCTAGACAGTCACTTACCTCCTTTGTCCATTGCTTCCACCAATAAGATCGCTCCATTTTTTATTTCTCCTCTTTGTCCGTCGCTTTGTCTATCAATATCAACGATCAGCCCTCACCACGACAGCGTGGTCATCGAAACTCTAGTCTTCCGTTTTCCCACACCGCGACGACCGCAGCCGAAAATCAATTCGACATGCACCCCTCCTCCCCTTCCCCCTTGCCCACAGCACGCTCGCAGGTTCGCGATTAACTCATCTGGTTGCGCAAATGTTCACGTCGAATTTCGGTCGTTTCCCGCTCGAAGAAGCGTAACTCCATTCCGAGGTTGCAAAATCGACCCGAACAATTCCATTTTTTACAAGAGTGCGACCGCGCAATTTCTGCTCAAAATTTTGTTCATTTTTTAGCGATATCGGCGTAAAAATCAGTGACATTTTCACGTAGATAACTCCTAAGGTCTCCTCGTAAGGCCTTGTCTCGACGGCGCAACTGTTGAGGGAAGCTGGCGCAACGGTTGAAGGAAGGAAGAGTCTCAAAAATGTTTCACTTATAAGAGAAACTTTCAAGGTCAGAAACCTGGAACCTCAACAGTTGTTTACCTTCTTGGTATTTTGAATTGATAAACGCTGGTTACACGTGAAGCGGGAGTTTATTGCGGGTGTTTTATTCCGGAGCGGTTATTACTTAGAAATATTTGTATACATTTCAGTATTAATTTTATATTTTCGTTTGTAGCATATCACTACAGCAAGAAAATAAAATTTTATCAAATATATTTTCTTTTTATCCAAATCTGTGTTATGTTATTGTTTTTTGTTTTATACCTGGTCGAAATAACGCAAAATATTCACCACCCGTTCATGATTATCAGTTCAGTTACCTCAATTGACATCGTTTAACCTAAAAATATTAACGTTGTTCAAATATTCCCGCCTAAAAGTTCCAGGAACACATGCTTGTGCGTCGAGACAGGGAACTTCGGTTGGTGCAACAAACTCGTAACAGTTGCACCTGACTCCCTCAACAGTTGCGCCGTCGAGACAAGGCCTAACGGTACAATTTACGAGTGGAAATCTTGCAGCGTTGGAATGAAGTTACGATCTTTCTACCGAAAACGACGAATTCGGTTGCCGCCGTCGTCGACTTCCACGAAAACGAGTCGTGTGAACGGCCTCGGCGGGAGCGAGGCGTGAATGATCGATTATCGATTTTTCCCCGTTCAAAGCGATGGTAAAAAATCGATTATGAAGGTGTCCGTTGCGAACGCCCTGTTCATCGACCTTTTTCTACAGGTTTAAATGACCGATCGATCGATGTATCGCGAAGCGCGCCACGCCACCATTGGAGATACCGTTCGGAATGGTGAGTATACGAACGAGCGTGCGATACGGGAGGTTTTGGTGGATTTGTCGACCGTTTACTCGAAGCAGGTAGGATGAATGGGGCTTTTTTTTTTTTGACGAAATTGAAAAATGGGTTATTTTTAAGCTGCATTAAAAGAATTTTGGTAAGAAATATATTTTGGGGTGGAAACTCCCCCTCCCTCTCTTATGTTTGACGTGAGACCAGGTCGTTCTTTTTTAAGGGGTGATGGCTGATGGGGTTCTTCGAATTCATGAGCAGCGACGGATTTCAGCGGCAGACAACAGCTCGGAAGAACGCCGTATGAACATTCGAGAGTTGCCAATTGACGGGGACTTGATGAAACTATTTAAGCTTGTTGTATGTCCGAATCGCACCAACTGAAGTGCAAAACCGCGTATCTCCATTGCGGTGTTTCAAAATTTCCGTTCTTAATTCATCTCTTCCATGACAAACAATCCGAATTTACGACTTTAAATTTTGAACCAAATCTTCTGCTATCGAATACGAAAAATCGTGGAGAATTTAAGTTTTATGTTGACCAGCTTCTCGAAAGAAAAATAAAATTTCTAAGGAAGTCTGCAACGTCGCAAATGGAGAAACGTCGTCTCTCATTTTGCCCAAAAATATGTATGTATACAACTCTACATACGCCTTGATACAATACAACCTTGACGGATGTCCGTATTGCGTTCAAAAAATTGAAGGCGTTTTGACTCCCTGCTCATACTACCAGTAGTTGATTCGATCGACAAACGCGTTGGTCGGCGGTGACGGGGACTTGATGCATTTTTTTAAACTTGATGGATGTCCGTATCGCACCGATCGAAGTGCGAAACCCCGTATCTCCTTTGTGGTGTTTCAGAATTTCCGTTCTTAATTCATCTCTTCCATGAGAAACAGTCCAAATTTACGACTTTCCATTTTGAACCAAATCTTCTGCTATCGAATTCAAAAAATCATGGAGAATTTAAGTTTTATGTTGACCAGCTTGTCGAAAGCAAAATAAAATTTCTAAGGAAGTCTGCAACGTCGCAAA